CAGCACTTTGCCATTCTCAGAAAATATAACACATGCAACATCAAAGGTAGATGTAATACCATTAGAATATTCAAAAGACTATTTAAAACCAGTGCCTGTTGAGGAAAACTTAGTTTTTGACAGGCAGAGTTGTGGGATAGGTGTCCTAGTGCCTCTTCCTAACATGGCAGGGAGAATCCTCTTCATGAAGATAAACTGATACATTTATTAAATAAAGATCATTTATCTTCCCAGAGTTTGTCCTAAAAGATCAGAGGGTGAGGAGGATAAATACATTTGTTGAATGAAATTTTATTTTTAAGGAGATTTGTGCATTCTGCATTTGGAGACAGAAAAAGATACTTACAGTGGGGCACTGGGAAAGGGGTGAGGAGGAGTCAGCACATCTATCTTGTGCCCTAGGAATCGCATCATGTAGTTAATTACCCCTTACCTGTGTCTATTACCTACCATTAATGAGGCTGGTTTTCTAAAATAAAATGCCAGTAAATAGAGTGCTAAAATTAAGGCATTTTACTCCAAAGTCCATATGCTTTTCTCTGCACCACTTTACAAAGACCTCATTTTACTGATCTTTGGACTATATCTACATTTAAATTTTGTCAGATTTTAACTAAATGAAATAGTTGTGAATAACAATACTAATTTATTCTATTTGTATTTTTCTTAGTCTGCCTTACTCAATAGGGTTATGTGCATATAGGTCATATTTCTTTCCTCTTCTTTTAGTCCTGATTTTTTATTTTTTCTGATTTATTGCATACCAGGTTTTATAAACCGCTTCGAGTGCTCTTGTGGAAAGAAATGGGATGTAAGCCAATTAAAGTTAAATTTCCCTTTCCAAGTAAGGGGGAAAAAATGGTCCTTTTCAAGTAAGGCAAAATATTATCAATTCTGGAAATGAAGGGTGCCTTCCACATGCCAGAAAACTCAGGAATTCCTAAAGGCAACATCTACTGGGAGAAGGACCAGTCCATGTTATCCATTGTGGGGGAAGTTGTTCTCTGAGACCCTCCTGTTAGAGAATTAGTAAAGGGGCAAGTCCCAATTATACTTTTAGAAGTTCACGGTGCTGTCCTAACACCAGATATTGCTTGTTACTTAAATGGCATACTGAGCTTAGTTTTGAGGATAGTTAATAGTTGTGATGCCTGTTGAGAGAAATATCTAGCTTTGGACAGCAGCAAACCACAACAGCAATGGTTTTCAAGCCAGTGCATTTGAATCACCAGAAGTGCTTATTAAAACAACTGGGCCCATACTCCTATCCTTTCTGATTCTGAGTGGGATCCAAGAATTTGCAATTCTCACAGTTCACAGGTGGCGGTGCTGGTCTGGAACCACACTTGGAGAGCAACTGCCCTATTACCTTCGGTTCTAGTCATTCTCAACAACTGGACCTTTACCAGTTACCTTGACAGTTATATCAACAAATAAGCTTTCCTCACCTTTAGGCATGAAAGACTTGAATACTGAGCTATGCAATTTGATATAGCTCATCTCCACTCCCAATAGTGGACACGTTTACCAGACATGAACAAGCAATTTTATAGAAGATGAGTGTGAGGGACCAGCTGCTGTTCCCTTTGAAGCAGTTATTGTGAAGGCAATTTCAGCAAGTATCTCATTTGTATTTGCAATAGTAGAGACTATGAAAAGCAACTTAGAAATTATTTCAGGTGTAAGGTAAATGTACCTAATTGGTTAATATACAGTGGGAGTGACTAACAATCCATTAACTGTATGGCAAATTAGATTGGTATTTGAGAGTAAACTTTTTTTTTTAAATATATTTTTTGAGAGTAAACTTTACAAGTTATCTGGGCACTAAAAGGACAGTTAATAAGCAGGAAATAATGAAATAAAAGGTAAGCCATAAGGATCAAATAGTACCGTAAGTATAGTAAAAAAATATATATATATATATATATATATATATATATATATATATATATATATATATATATATATATAGATCATGTTACCATAAGATTAAGTGAAGGGATGAATCTGTTGCTGAGGGTAGAAGCCAGTTGCACTACATTTGAATTTATGTTATCACTGGGTTTCTTTGTATCTAAGGAAAAAAATACGAGTGCCAGAAATGCAAAATCTATTTATTGCCAAGAGATGAAGAAAGAATTGAAGTGGTCAAATCACTAAAATTACTGAACAGAAGTAATTTTTCACAAGTCGTGGTGGCTGAAGTAGAGTATATACATTATTTTTTAATTTTTAATAAGCATATTTTCCTCCTCTTCTGCTGACCTGAAAATATTGCTTTATAGTGTTGAAACCTATGGACTTTGCCTCCTGTAAACAGCAGGTCGTTTGCTTGCCATTCCCCTAACTCTGTTCTGTGGACTATAAAACTATTTTCTGGTTTTAAAACAATATTCTGGTTTTTGTTAGGCCATCAATACTTCTTTCAACCTGTATGTTTTATGTGTATAATATTGTTCTTGGTGCTAAATATACTTTCTTTCCTCTGATATTCAGGATAATTCTTTCTCTATATTTGTGACTATTCGTTCATTTTCTTGAAGTTATGTGATTGTTACTATTTTTAAATTAAAAATACTCATAATGTATACTAATGAAGATGACCATTGAATATAAAGCAACATTGGTGAAACATAACTATGAGAACAATGTCAAACATTACCTGCTCCACCTGCATCACCTTTGGAATCCAAACACTTAGCATCACTAATTGGTCACTGAACCACATACCCAGTCTTGCCCCTGTCATAGGGGAGACTCGTCATCGAATGACCAGTTACCAAATACTTGTATGACCTGGCTTAAAGAAGAGCCTGGGCCAATCGATTTCAAGTAAGAGTCACAAAGACATTTTCTGGTGGTGACTGAAAGCTGGAACTGAAAGATCTTACAGAGTTAAGGCCAAGGGTTATTGTATATGATTGGCATCCTCAAGCTACAACTAAGGGAAAACCAGCCAGTGAAGAAAGAAGGGTCCAGATATGGGGGAGAGGCAGAGAGCAAGCTCCTGGTTTTATCTCAGTCCCTGCCATTTATGAGAACTGGTTTTACCTGTCCTTGTGTTTGGGGGCACTTGAACTTTTAAACCCTCTTTGCTCCTGAAGTAACTTTGAACTACCAGAAAACCGTATTTAGATACATTTTAGTGAGTTAATTTCAAATATAAAACGTTCTCTTTCTGTGGGGAGAGAGGAATAGGTTGCCTACAAAAAAAAGGGGTTGGCATCAAATTTCTTCTCTGCCATATTAAATACCAAAAATGAAAAGCAGCAGTAAAACCATATATGCAGCATTTGGAAGAGAATAGAAATGTTACCTAAGAATTCTGAAGCCAGCCAAACTAGCATTTAATATATCTGAAGTACTATCATTCAGAATTTTATTGTTATCAACAAGATCTTCCCTAGAAGACCAAATATGTTTGTTCATTTAGAGAATATTAAGTAGTCCACAGGGTTTGCATATGGGCCAAAAATTCATTCATAGAATGGGGCTGCTTTGGTCAAGATTCAGGTGCTGCCCCTCACCACCAGAGCCTTCTCAAACACTCTTGCCATAAGTAACATTACATGAGGCACTTGCTTCCTCACACTGCTCATTTCTGGAGCCTTGCTTGGGTGGCCGTGATTGGCAGAGGCTATGTCACATGCTGCATTCATAAAACATGAATTCCCCAAATCCATGAGGAGCATTTCCAAAGAACTGGACAATCAGAACCCATGACCTATTTCTGCCTCAGTATCCCAAGAATTAAACAGAAAGGCTTTAAGTAAACCATCTGAGCAAAAAAAATTAAACTTGAATAAATGCATAAATAATTGTGGTTAATCTGATAATGAATCTCAATGTGAGTGCCCAAGTAACTCAAAATGAAAAGATGAAATTTGTAATAATTTTAATCTTAAATTCAAGTTACTCCAAACCAATCTGGGAAACAATATTTAGAAGGAAGAGAAGATGTAAAAGCATGCTAAATTTCTAATCTTACATAGGCAGTGTTCAGAGATACTATTTTACTTTTAGAAAAATACAAAATCAGTATTTTCATTTAATAGTAACTCCAATGTTAGAAAGAAATAAAACTTCCCATCCAAATCACTAGCCCAAAAATAACAACTAGGAAATCTTAACCAAGATATATAAGGACAGGAAAAATGGCAGAGGGCTGTATTTCACAAAGAAGCATGAAACGACAGAGTACTACCAAACAATGAGTGGATTGAACATGAAGAGTAAAAGAACCACTCTCAGCTTGAAGTCAAGTTTTTAGAAAACCTAAACAATCCAATTAAATACCATTAGCAAATGAAAAAAAGTACAAAAAGTGCCCTAGCCAGTTTGGCTCAGTGAATAGAACATCAGCCCATGGACTGAAAGGTCCTGGGTTCAATTCCAGTAAAGGGCACGTACCTCACTTGCAGGCTCAATCCCTGGCCCTGGTCAGGGGACATGCAGGAGGCAGCCAATCAATGTGTCTCTCTCACATTGATGTTTCTCTCTGTCACTCCCCGTCCCTTCCACTCTGTCTAAAAATAAATGAAAAATTGTCCTCAGGTGAGGACAATTAAAAAAAAAAAAAAAAGTACAGAACCAGTGGCTGTATTTGCAGATGGGGCCTCTAAAGAACTAAAGGTAAAATAAGATCATAAGAATGAAGGCTTAACACATAGCAATGTGTATAGATCATGTATCATAGAAATGTACACTTGACACCTGTATGATCTTATTAACCAATGTCACCCCAATGATTAAATAAAAAATGAGGGCCTTATCTGATAGGATTCATCTACAGGTGAGCACGTCTAGCACTCGGTGAGGAATCCCATGTTAGCGACGGCGCATGCGCCCAAAACGCCTCGCTTTGAGGACACCAGGGAAAAACATCGCAGGCGTTTGCGGACGCTCTCGCGAGAGGATAGGGCCCAACGCCACGTCAGGAGCCGGGACTCCGGCGCCGAGCGACAGGTGCCAGAACAAACGGACGGGGAAAGGCCGGGGACGCCAAGGCGTTCCGGAGGGCAGGACTTCCGCCGGAAATGGGGTTGTCTGGGAAATCAGAGCAGCGGCGTTCCGGCGGGGCTGCCGGCGGGTCTCACCCCAGTGGGCGCGGGCGGAGATGGCCTGCGCCGCGGCGCGGTCCCCGGCCGACCAGGACAGGTGGGTCCTGAGGCGGGAGGTAGCGCCGCTCCCCGGCCCCGGGAGAGGCGCGCGAGGAGGCTCCGAGCTGCTCCCCGGCGTCCGCTCCTCCCGGAGGCCCCCGCACCGGGCTCTCCGCAGGTCCCTGAAATGCCAACCTCCGGTAGCCCGGTAGTTACCTGGTTTGCCCGTGCGGCTCCGTGCACATGGCATGACCGAACAGAGTAACTGCGTGAGAACTATTTTTTCCCTATTGCGGCGTCCACGAAGGCTCGTTTGAGTTTTTTAGGTTTATTAATACCTCTAATTCCATACTTTAAAAAATATATATTTTATTGATTTTTTTTTAACAAAGGAAGGGAGGGGGCTAGTTAGAAACATCAATGAGAAACATCGACCAGCTGCCTCCCGCACTCCCCCCCACCCCCAACGTGCCCGCAACCAGGCTACATGCCCTTGACTGGAATCGAACCCTGGACTCTTCAGTCCCCAGGCCCATGCTCTATCCACTGAGCAAAACCGGTCAGGGCCAACGCCGTACTTTCTATACACGAGAGAGGACCCACCCCCCCCCCCCCCACACACACACACACACACACAGGGCCCTTGTGGCGGGGACCTGTATCTAAGTGAACAAACAGTTAAGACACTGTTGTTTTAAATATTCTGTAGCAAGTAGGGTTCTTTTCCACTTAAGGTAGTGAGTTAAAGTTTACTTTTTAAGTAAGTTAAGTGAAAGGGAGATAATATAAAGAAAAAAGCATGCGACTCATAGTGTGGGTGTACTGGCAGTCACGATAATGAGGGGATGAAGGGGTGAGGTTTTGGGAACACTGCTCCGGTGATACCAGCTGTATTTTTTCTGTGGCAGGTTTGTTTGTATTTACCCTGCTTATTTAAATAACAAGAAGACCATCGCAGAGGGCAGGCGAATCCCCATCAGTAAGGTAAGCAGGCTGGTACCTTGGCCCTTCAGGGGAGAAGGGACTTTGTTGATACCTTTTATTTTCAAAATTGATGTCATTTTATTTTTATTTTTTTTAAGAAGCACATTTTGTATTCTGACAACAGGGTCAAGGTAACTTGGTCTGAAGCCTTGACTTTGTTATTCTCGAGTTATTTTATATCTCACTTTCTGCTTAAATGTGTAAAAGAAAGTCTGTTTTGCTGCCTCTGGATAAAAGAGAAGACACCAAAGCTTTGGTTCAGAATAATACCTGACTCCCTGAAACAGCCCTCTGGTAGCAAGCTGTCAGATAATTTGGAGAATGATTAAGTTGTTTTGAACTTTGCCGGGACCGGTTTGGCTCAATGGATAGAGCGTCGGCTCGGGTCCCGGGTTCGATTCCGGTCAAGGGCATGTACCTTGGTTGCGGGCATATCCCCAGTAGGGGATGTGCAAGAGGCAGCTGATCGATGACTCTCTCTCATCGATGTTTCTAACTCTCTATCTCTCTCCCTTCCTCTCTGTATAAAATCAATAAAAATATATTTTTTAAAAAAGTTGTTTTGAACTTTATCGATATATAGCAAGCATACATACAAAAATCTTAAGTGTCTTAATTTTCACAAAATGAGTGCACATGGGTAATCGCCCTAATTTAAAGAAAGAAAACATTACCAGCATCCAGGAAGATTCCTTTCTATCCCCTCCCAGTCACTGTCCTTTCCATATATACTCACATACAAGGAGAACCACTGCTGACTTCCATCACCATAGATTACTTTTGCTTGTTTATGAGTTTTATTTAAAATGCATTACACACTGACTTTTACATCTGTTTTTCACCGAACTTTAAGCTTATGAGATTTATCCACATTTTTGAGTGAAATTTAATTCTCATTGCTTTGTAATAGCGTTTCTCAACAGCAGCACCTTTGACATTTTGAGCCAGATAATTCTTTTTTTTAAAATATATTTTATTGATTTATTTATTTTTTTATTTTATTTTATTTTTATTTTATTTTTTTTTACAGAGAGGAAGGGAGAGAGATACAGTGTAGAGAGTTAGAAACATCAATGAGAGTCATCGATCAGCTGCCTCTTGCATGCCCCCTGCTGGGGATGTGCCTGCAACCAAGGTACATGCCCTTGACCGGAATCGAACCTGGGACCTTTCTATCCACTGAGCCAAACCGGTTTTGGCTTGAGCCAGATAATTATCCTGTGTATTTTAGGTTGTTTAGCATCCCACTAGATGCCAGTGCCCTACGCCATCCTAGTTGTGACAATCAAAAATGTTTCTAAAGCATTGCCAAATGTTGAGAGGATGGGACAGGGGGCAACATTACCTTAATGACAACCACTGCTATGTAGTATTGCTTTGTATGACTGTACTATCGATGGATAACTGGGTTGTTTGTAGTTTGGGGCTATTGTAAATAGAGCTTTTGAATTTGTCTTTAGTGAACATAGTTTTGCATTTTTAAAATATATACTTAAAAGTGCAATTGCATGTCCATAATGAATGCATACTTTTGGCTTTAATAGAGAGAACCAAATAATTTTCTAAAGTGGTTGTATCTGTAATAATTGTTTAACCAGTATTCACTGAGCACCTACTATGCTCCAAGTATCATGCCAGATGTTGGGGAATATACTGATGAACAAATTAGTCCTTCCACTTGTGAAGTGTATGTTTTGTTGGAGGGGAGATGAACAACACAAGGATTGATCAGTATTCCAGGTTTTTGTTTTGTTTTTTGTTTTTTTTGTTTTTTTGTTTTTTTTAAGTTATAGTGGAAACAGCTGGATCTAGTAGAAATGGAAACCTTGGGTTTGATACATGTTTTGATCATAGTATTTGAAATGATTTACACAGTATTGTAGTACCTACTTAAAGCTAAGCTGTTTAGTGTTTTTTTTAATTGTTCAGGCTGTTGAAAATCCTACAGCTACAGAGATTCAAGATGTGTGCTCAGCAGTTGGACTTAATGCATTTCTTGAGGTATGATGTGGTCCTTCCTTTACTATTTTCCATTCTCATCTCATTGATATAATAACATCCTTAAACAAAGCCTGTTTTTCTTTTGTATTAGAAAAACAAAATGTACTCCCGAGAATGGAATCGTGATGCCCAGTACAGGGGCAGAGTCCGGATTCAACTCAAACAGGAAGATGGCAGCCTCTGTCTTACACAGTTCCCATCACGTAAGTTTTTTTAAATGAATGAGTAAAATTTGGGGATAGGTTACTCATTCCTCTACACTGCAAAGAAATTTCTGAACTTTTGAAAGGTAAAAATAATGTGTGTTCTACATACTAATTTAGAGAAAGGACTACCACTGATGCAGGGTAAACAGTGCTTCTAACTTTGGAGGCTGGGGTACTTTTTTTGTTTTCTTTTATTTATTTATTTATTTATTTATTTTTATTGTTGAGAGTATTACAGATGTCTCTCCCTTTTTACTCTCATTGCCCCCCTCCACCCAATTCCCACCCCACCTCAAGTCTTCCCCATCCTGTTGTCTGTGTCCATGGGTTATGCATATCAGTATATAAAATCTGTTACCATCTGTACCTTCTCCTCCCCCCACTCTGAGATTCTTCAGTCTGTTGCATGCTTATTTTGTGGGTCAATTTATTTTTTTTTTATTACATTAACCCTTTGCACTCTGCTGTCCCCTCTCAGGGGACATCGGAATTCTAGCATATCACTCGGATGTCCCCTCTCAGGGGACATTGCAGTTTATTAGTGATTACGGGGAATTGAGTTAATTCAACGCACGTTTCCGCCGTTAGCGTTGAGTAGCTGGTAGCCAATGTCCAGAATGGTTCGGAGTGCAAAGGGTTAAACATATGAGTGAGATCATGTGATACTTGTCTTTCTCTGAATGGCTTATTTCACTTAGCATAATACTCTCCAGGTTCATCCATGCTGTCTCAAAGAGTAAGAGATCATATATATAATTTGTTTTTGTTTTGTTTTCAGAGAGGAAGGGGGAAAGAAAGGGAGAGAGGGAGAGAAAGAGAGTTTTTTTTAATTGTTCAGGCTGTTGAAAATCCTACAGCTACAGAGATTCAAGATGTGTGCTCAGCAGTTGGACTTAATGCATTTCTTGAGGTATGATGTGGTCCTACAGGAGAGGGGAGAGAGAGAGGGGGAAAGAAGAGAGAGAGGGAGAAAGAAACAGAAACATCATTGATGAGAATCATTGATTGACGCCTCCTGGCAACCCCAGCCTGTGCTCTGACCATGATCTTCTGGTTCACAGATCAACACTCAACCACTGAGCCACACCACCCATGCAAGAATCCATCTTTTCTACAGCTGCATAGTGTTCCATTGTGTAAATGTACCTACCACAGCTTTTACTGGTGGGCACTCGGGCTGTTTACAAATCTTAGTTATTTTAAATAATGCTGCTATGAACATAGGAATGCATACATCCTTTCTGATTGGTGTTTTGGGATTCTTGAAATATATTTCTAGAAGTGGGCCACGGGCATCAAATGGCAGTTCCACTTTTCATTTTTTAAGGAAACTCCATACTGTTTTCCTTAGTGGCTGCAATGGTTCTAAACTTCTTTAAGTTAGGGACCTATTTGATAATATGATGAAACTTATTAATGGTTTCCTCCAAAAATACTGTTTTGTGAACATTTTGTAAACCTCTGAAAGTCCATCATTGCTCCTAGGTTAAGAGTGTAAAATTACTAAATTGTCAGATGTTCATTGCCATTTTAGATCCTAGAGTTCTTGATGTTTGCTTATAATTTCATTAATCTAAAAAGCCACTCTTAGTGAAAAAAAGCAAGAGATAGTATTACCACTTAGGTAAATTTAAAAACAAAGTAAGAAAATACCTGGTCTTAAGATAGAAGTTAACCTAATGGCAAAAGCAAGGCAAGGGGTAGGGAGTAGGCACAGGAGGTTATGGTAAGAGAAGACTAGCATCATCCCTAGTGTTTTATTTTTATTTTTAATTTTTTAATTTATTGGGGTGAACACTGGTTAATAAAATTATACAAGTTGCAGGTGAACAATTCCACAGTATGTCATCTGTACACTATATTGTGTGTTTCCATGGCTTAAAAGTTATAATGATATGCTATTTCCAATTTCTTATGTGTAGAAAAGTTCTCTTTGGATTTTCAAGTTAATTACTAGGACCAAGACCCAATTTTTTGTTTTACACTTAAATTTTGATTGTATTATTTTAAACATTTCAGCGTTGTTCTCAGTACTTTCACCACCAAAGGCCCCATTCCTAGTCATTGCCTTTATAGTCTTTTTTTTTGTTTCTTGAAATCCTTCTCATTTTCTTGATGTGGTGTGATGATTTCTTGAACTTTATGATATTCAAGTTAATGACCTTTTGCATCTTAGTTCATGGATTATATACTAACCTTAATTTCTGGTTCCTAGGTAAGTCAGTAATGTTGTATGCAGCAGAAATGATTCCTAAACTAAAAACAAGGACACAAAAAACAGGAGGTAGTGACCAAACTCTTCAGCAAGGAGAGGGAAGTAAAAAAGGGAAAGGAAAGAAGAAGAAGTGACCTGGCAAGACAATCAAGTCGGACATACAGCTGTAAGAGCCGTGGAGGGAGCTTTCTGCTTTGTATCTGGGAGGAGCTGAAGCTTTCTGTTTGTATCATTTAACTGAACTATGAACATTTGTGCCTCCCAGCTTTAGCATGAGAGTTGACAATGAAATAAATTTACACAAAAAGTTTGCATCTAGCTCTTATGCAGTATACCATAAAAGAAAATTTTTTTGCCTTTCAATGCAGTTTTTGTGGAAGAAAGAAGCTTATTTTTAAAAGGACAATGGCCTCTGCCATAAGTTACTTGAAATCCTGTATCTGTGCTCTATGTAAAAATGTTCAGATAAATGAGTTTAATAAGATTTAAAACACATATCGTTCACCTTTTAAGCTAATGAAATAAAATTCAAAACTGACTATGTAGTTTTTGCTTATGAATTAATGCCAGTGGAAGAGATAATTTAAAAGAATAAAATGGGAAACCTGGCTGGCATGGCTCAGTGGTTGAATGTCGAACTGTGAACCAGGAGGCCCCAGTTTGATTCCTGGGCAGGGCACATGCCTGGATTGCAGGCTTGATTCCACAGTATAGGCCATGGAAGAGGCAGGCAGTCAATGCTTCTTTCTCATCAGTGATGTTTCACTCAACCTCTCCCTCTGTAAAAATCAATAAAAATATATTTTAGAAATAATAATAAAAATATAAAAGAATAAAATGGGTAGTGGGTGTTTAGCATGACCTTAAAAGTAGAAGAAAGTAGTAAATTCCTCTTGGAGGTCTATGAACACCCAGTCTATAGATTTTTTTTTTTTTAATTTTTAATGATTTTCTTTTTAGAGAGGAGGAAAGGCAAGAGAAATATTGATGTGACAGAAACATCAATCTGCCACCTTATGCACCCCAATTGGGGATCTAACCCACAACCTAGTGTGTGCCTTGACCAGGAATCAATCACACAACCTTTTAGTGTATGGGATGACGCTCCAACCAACGGAGCCACCCAGTGAGGGCTAGATCATATTCTTTTAATTAGTTACTGTAATTGAATAGTTCAATAACTGGTTTTTTGACATGGACAGTCCTGGAGTTTAAGCTTTAGATTTGCTTATTTTGTAAGCTTAAGGACATTGTTTTCATTGAATTCTAAAATTACTTATGCTTTAGCACCTTGAGATACACCTTTTTCAATAAATTAAATTGGATTGCTAATTCTATCTTTATTGCAAAGCACTGTCTGAATTTTTTGTAAAGTTGAAGAGAATCCCTATCTAGCCTTATGTTTTTGCCACTGAGACTCTTGGGCGAACTGCCTTCTGTGACTCCCTATGCTTTTGGAAGTGCTGTTAGTCATGTGCTGCCTAATAGTGTTTTAGTCAGGGATGGGCCACATATACAACTGTGATCCCATAAGATTATAATGGAGCTAAAAATTCCTATCATTCCTATCCCCTAATGACGTAGTAGCTGTTGTAAATTTGGAGCACAACAGGCATTACTTGTGTTTATGTTGATGCTGATGTAAACAAATTTGTACTGCCAGTCACATAGAAATATTGCACATACAATTATACACAGTACATAATCTTACCTAACAATAGACAAACATGTAAATTGACCATACCCTTTGCCATGCCACCAGCCAATCAGGAGTGATATGCAAATTAACCCAACAAAGGTGGTGGTTGATTTGCATATACAGACACCAAGTGAAGGGTGGAAAGTTTGCATCATTGCCTTGGCAATGACGCAGGCATTCTGCCCCACCCCCAGTCTCCGGGCCTCTGGGCAGCATGGGAAGGCAGGGGGTGTCGGGAGCGGAGAGAGCAGAGGCTGCTCTCCGAGTGGAAGGAGGCAGCCTGCTGGGGCCTGAGCAGAAGGGCTGGGCCGGAGTGGAAAGGCAGTGCCGGCAGCCAGGGAAAGGAAAGCCCATTCTAGCATGAATCTTCGTGCATCAGGCTTCTAGTACCTGATAATAACAAATGACTGTTACTGGTTTATGTATTTACTATACTAAACTTTATTACTATTTTAGAATGTACGTTTTCTACTTATAAAAAAAAGTTTGCTATAAAACCATTTGCCATGTTATACCATCAGCAGCTCACATCTTGTGCTTACTGTGGCTCTTGATTACATCATTTGTCTTGTACTTAATTTCGTTCATCTCATGTTGTTTTATACATTTAATGTAGCCTAAGGGCAAAGTGTTTATAAAATCTACAGTACTGTATAGTCCTGTCCTAGGCCTTCATATTCACTCACCACTTTCTGGATCACCAGAGCAAGTTACAGTTCTATAAGATCCAATCATGGTAAGTGCCCTATACAGGTGTACCCTTTTTTAGCTTTTATACCATATTTTTACTTTGCCTTTTTCTATGTTTAGGTGTGCTCTCTTAGATAAACAAATATTTAATCGTCGTGTTACACTCACCTCCAGTGTTCAGTACAATAACAGGTTTGTAGCCTGGGAACAATATACTATTTAGCCTACGTATGTATGCTCATGGTTCAGACCTGTGGCACATGTCCATTTTCAGCTGCAAGGCAGGCTGGGAAAGTGGATATATGGTTTTTTTAGTCCTGATAGAGGCAGCCAACAAGAAAGTAGTGGAGAATGGATATTGGGGCAGTTAACAAAATATTTGTCACAGAAAGATGACTGGAGCCCTAGCCGGTTTGGCTCAATGGATAGAGCGTTAGCTCATGGACTGAAACGTTTTAGGTTTGATTCCTGTCAAGGGCACATGCCTGGGTTATGGCTCCATCCCCAATGGGGCGCGTACAGGAGGCAGCCAATCAGAGATCCTCATCATTGATGTGTCTATCCCTCTCCCTGTCTGAAATCAAAAGTATATTTTAAAGAATATATTTTTTAAAGAAAAGGTGACTTTAAAATTGTTTTGGCAATAAGTGTCAGAAAGATCTCAGAACTATTGCTGTAACATTGTATTGCTCTTCATATTGCAATGAATGCATAATTGAGCTTTTCTTTGCCAGTCAAGTGAAAAACAGAATCTTCTCTAATGAGCAAGATTGAGCATTTATTCATATGTTGAAATACCACTTATATTTATTTCAATGAATTATGTTCATATCCTTTGCCTACTTTAAAAGGCTTTATTGTTATCAATATTATATCTGTACATAATTTAAAGAGCCAGCTAGTTTTCATGGTTTCAATTTTAGATATTAACTTCCATCTTAGGAGGATTTAGATTTTCTTCCTTTATCCCACCACATGCATGTCTGCTTCCAACCTTCCCTCCTATCATAATTTTAATCACTATTCACCGTTTACATTGTTACCATCTATTCCATTTGTCGCTGAGCCATGTACTAAGGTACTCAAAAGTGTGGTGGGAGGTTCAGCAGCACTGGCCTCCCCTGGGAGCTTGTGTTCTCAAGTTCTGGGGAAATTGAAAATTTCATTGATTTTTCTTACCTTTTTTTTTTTTAAGTTTTTTTTTTATTTTTATTTTTTTAAATAAATCTTTATTGTTCAGATTATTACAAATGTGATCCTCTTCCCCCCCCTCAGTTGCTCCCCTGCATCAGGTTCCCACCTCACTCTCTGTCCTTTCCCCATCCCCCATTTTCCTCATCCATAGGTGCACAGTTTTTGTTCAGTCTCTTCCCGCACCCCCACTCCCTTTTTCCCTGAGAATCGTCAGTCCACTCCCCTTCCATACCTCTAATTCTATTATATTCACCAGTTAATATTGTTCATCAGATTTTTTTAATTCCCTTGGTTTTTAGATTCACTTGTTGATAGTTACATGTTTGTTGATCATAATTTTGTTGTTGTTGATCATAATTTTTATCTTTATCTTCTTCCTCTTCCTAAATAACCTCCTTCAGCAATTCATATAATTTCTGGTTTGGCAGTGATGAACTCTTTTAGCTTTTTTTTATTTGTGAAGCTCTTTAACTGTCCTTTGATTCTGAGTGATAGCTTTGCTGGGTAGATTATTTTTGGCTGTAGGTTCTTGCTATTTATCACCTTGAATATTTCTTGCCATTCCCATCTGGCCTGCATGGTTTCTGTTGAGAAATCGGCTGACAATCGTATGGGTGTTCCTTTATAGGTAACTACCTGCTTTTCTCTTGCTGCTTTTAATATTCTCTCTTTGTCTTTTGCTCTTGGAATTTTAATTATGATGTGTCTTGGTGTGGTCCTCCTTGGATTTCTTTTGTTTGGGATTCTGCGATCTTCCTGGACTTGCAAGTCTATTTCTTTCCCCAGGTGGGGGAAGTTTTCTGTCACTTTTTCTTCCAGTATTCTTTCAGTATCTTGCTCGCTCTCTTCTTCTGGAATCCCCATAATTCTGATGTTGGTTTGCTTGAAATTGTCCCAGAGGTTTCTTACACTATCTTCAACTTTCTGGATTCTCTTATCTTCTCCCTTCTGTAGAGGAGTGTCCTCTGGCTCTTCGTGTTTTAAATCTTTGTCTTGATTCTTGTGATCTTCCAGTCTGTTTTTAGGACTTTGTATAATATTTTTTATTTCAGACAATGTTTTCTTCATTTCTTGTTGATCCCTTATTATTTCTAGTTGCTCCCTTTTCATATCCTCATAGGTCTCATTTATTTTATCGGCCTTTTTTAGGATATTGTTGAATAACCTTATAACTGTAGTTTTGAACTCAATGTCCAATCTTTTCTTTTCCTTCATCTCATTCCTTTGTCTCCTTCCTCGTCTGCATTTTAGTTGTTTCCCTGATTTGATGGAATAGCTTTGTGTGCTAGGTGTTCTGGTAGAGCCCAGTAGCACAGCCTTCCCAGTTACCTGCAGTGGACAGTCTTGGTGTAGCCCTTTGTGGGCTGTGTGTGCAGTCTTGTTGTTAAGCCTTGCTTATTGTTGGTATCACTGGGAAGCGTTGATCTCCAAGCCAATTGGCTGTGAGGATCAGCAGAGTCTCAGCTAGGAGGGCTTCTGTACTCCGCTTGGATAGAGCAGGGTCTCAGGGTGGCATAGACAATCTGGTTCCCTGTCAGTCTCGCCTTAGAAAAGACCTGTTCTCGGAGAGTTTCGGAAGATTGGTTGCAGGCGCGCGCGTGCACCTCTTTGGTAAAGGCACAGACAAGCTTTGGGTTTCTGCCAGTCCCTCCTTAGAGAAAGCCAGTCTCTGGGAGAGCTGCTGTGCTCAGCCAGAGATGGGGCGGAGTCTCGGGTTGGTGCAGACAAACTTTGTTTTCCCTTGGGCTCCTCCCCAAGTTCCGCAGCAATGGCCTCTGGCTTCACACACCTCCGAGAGATCTCTGCCCACTGCCTGACAGTCTGGCCTCTCCCTATCTGGGGCTGTCTATCAGAGCAACAGGCTGATTCTGTTTTCCTCTTGAACAAGAAACCCAGTTGCGAATTAGCTGTCCACCCTCTCCGCGCACCGGGAGTAAGCCAGTAGCGAACTCAGC